CTGTGAATATTTTTTTTATTTTTATTTCTTTTCCAATATTTTTTAATTGTAGAAGACAGAAAGCTTTGGATAGATGCTTTTACTAAGGAAAAATATTACAAGAAGCCATTTTTCTAATACAATATGTTTTTTTTCTTCTGAATACTTGTAGACCCTCAAAAGTTCACAGCCTACATTTTGAAACATACTAACTTACATCATAAACGATATTCCTCTTTATTTCTTACTTGTGTTGTAGGCTTAAGAAGCACATGATGAACTTCAGCTTTAGTATGAGGAAATGCTTTTCGGTAATCTCGAACTTCAGCTATTATACAGCCATCATAAAATAAATGAGAATGATTGGCTTCTAGTTGCTCTGCCAACATTGCAGGCAACTGACCATTATCTATACATGAAAGCAATTCACCCTGTTCATAACCCATTAGTTGTGTTTCAGCTAATATTGAATTTTTATCATATTGATTTCCCTTATCACTGTTAGATTAAAATTAATTAATTTATTATTATCAATCTACTTTTCTGACATTTTAAATAAATATTAATATAAATTACTCACCTATTTCTTACAGCTAGTGAGTATCCTTTATTACCAGCATAGAGATTAACAATTAATGTATGTAAACCTTCTCTTTGCACCAATCTTCCCAAAAGATCACATTCATTTTCTAGATTATTCTACACATTTCAATGAACAGAAGTACTATTAGTAAAGAATACTTGTATATTAAATATTTTGAAAAACATTAATTATGAGCAGTATTAAAAACATGAAGTATATAAAAAATACACATACCAGCACAGAATCAGGTGTTGCATGGGGAACTTTGGTAAGTTCTTCAAAATATAATCTAGTTAATTTGGACTGAATGCTGTGTTTAGAATGACTTTGTTCTTTTCTTTGAATAGATGATTTATCAGATGTTAAACTCACAGAATTTTGTCCTTGAACATTTTTCCAACATTTGAACACTTGATTGATCATATCCTTCATGAAGAATGAAACATGAACATTCCAGCATAAAGTTCTTTAAATTTATAATTAACAAAATTGACAAATATCAAAATAACATGTATTAATACAAATATAAATCAGAGCATCATCAATTTAGTCACTCAAATCAAATAAAAGTTTATAATTAAACTGGTATTATATAAATTAGCAAATAATAGTTAATAAATAATACCTGAGCCTGCCGACACGCATCTTCCAAACTACAGGCTGTACCAATCATTTTAGTTCTTGATTACTAACACCATTTAATGTCATATCTGATATAATAATGAATTTTCACAATCTGGAACAATTTCATAAAATATTAATATCGCAATCAACTGATATAGTAAATAATATTTAAAAAATTCATTGTAATATAAGTAAATACACTGTAATATTAATACATCGTATGTTTTTGCATTCACTTGAATAAAACATGTTGCCTTTTTTGGAATTATTGTGTTTCATAAAGTGTTTTGCATAATATATAAATTACTGCTATTGACTATTAAATATTATTATGCATCTAAAATAAGTTATGTAAAGTTTTTTGTTTATTTAAATATTTTATTTTATACATACTGTAATTAT